AGCAAATACAATAATGGCAGGCATAAGCTCTTTCATATAACCCTGGAAAAGAGAACCCACGCTTCATCACCTGTACAAAGACGACACAGATAGACTATCCCAACTCTAATCCAGCTCACAGCTGGATTTGTTGGTATGTTTGCTTTCACTGTACCTTCCAACATCTTCAAAAGGATGGAAAAATGGCATATACAAATTAAAAATAGAAGTAAACTTTGTCCTCTGAAAAAGAATCATTCAAAAAACAAACACATTAATATCATTGTGATTAAGAAGCTAGCAAACAGTCAGACATCATCAATGCTGTTCCAGCTAGAAGTAAAAATGAGTAAGGTGCAGTATTTCTTGTTTATGTAAAAGTCCTACTTCCAGAATAAAGGAAAACTAAAACATCAAAAGAGTATTATTCCATTGCTCAAAACTCTCAGGAATCTGTTTAGACATCAGCTCTTCTCTAAGCCTTCCAATGGGCCCAAACAAATGATCAGCAGCTCAGGGCACAGTCTTACCCACTTCTCCCTACTGTCCATACCTATTGCTATCAAGACCAATATTTAGCAAACTCCTCACCACATAGTTCAAATTCCTACGCATTTGTTTGCCTTTGCTTCCAGCAGTCTCATACCTGCAGCTGGTTCATTTTGATTCCTCACAACTGCCTCTGTATAACCATTCCTGAATCAGTTCAGCCTGGTACAGCTGTAATATCAAATATTTGTTAACATGAATTCACTAGCTACTGGTGAACAAGTTACTACAAGACTGAAGGTCTACACCTGACAATGTCAGCAAGGATGTCTGTAATACAGAAAGGAATGCACACAGCCTCCTCCCTCGTGCCATCCTGTCCTTATCTCCATCATCAACCGTTCTTCCATCAAACATACTTCCAAGAACATAACATGCTCCCGGGAACATACCGCATTTCCCATTTCTCACAATAATATGTGCCACATTACTAAGTCATACCTCTCAGTACCAAAGCTATCCTGTTCTGGATGTACTTGAATTTTTGAAAGAATGACTTAGGCTTTTATCTGCAAATCAAAACTAGTAACTGTTTCTCCGCTAGAGATACAGATACTACCTCTTTTTATAGCTCAGGTGCATTATGAACACAGATAAGTTAATCATCACTAAGCAGCCTGCGCTGCAGTGCAATAACATTTCTGCTGTTACTGGTTTTCCTGACAGCCCCAGCAATTTAATTATTATCCATCCACAAATCATTTAAGCTTGCTGGAACAAATTTTGATGGTTAATTCTGCAGCAGCTATGAGAGGCTTCACAGCTGCAGGACTTACTACCCGCAGAAGAGTCACACAAAAATCTTCTAGCAACGTATTGGCTAACCTAAGCACATTTCATACCTATCCATCTGGCATATTGAAAGGATAACATTAACTCAGGCTGATGCAGTGTTATATATTCTTCAAAGTACATCAACAGTCCCTGCTTGGGACTGGCCAATGCAGTGGCCACACATTCTGAATAAGGTCTGTTGTTCTACCAGTGCCCCAGGGACTCTGATTTGATGGACACTGCATCCTTCCTGATTATTCTTCCTCTACAGCGATTCCACAGAATTAAGAAGCTTTTTAACTATCCTTACATGTTTTGATGAAGCCTACAAGGAAGAGTAACTGAATCATCTCAGCCCCTAAAGGACGTCTAACCGTAAGGAGCAGGGTGAGGCACTGACAACATGTATATCCCCTAATCTACAGTGATAACAACAAAATCATGATACATTATTTTACTATGAAAATCAAATACAGGACCAAGAGAAAAAATTAAAAACCTAAATGCTACTCTGAATAGCTGCACAACAACAGTTTACTACACAATTCAGAAAAAAATCTGATCTTTTTAGATTTGCAACTCAAGGAATTGATTAAATACATGGAGATATATCATGTAGATACATCATTTAGAACACAGGACTTTCCAGTTAACTTTGAAAAAACAAAAGAGATATGTTAGCTCTGATAATTCTTATTAAGTTTTAGTGAAATTTTAGGGAAGTTTTGAAAACTTGCTACTTTTTTTGAGGAAAAAGTTTTACATATTTTAGGAGCAATTTCAAAGAGTTCTCAAAATCACAGGCTCAATGAACACCAGCTAAATTTATACTGACTAAATAAATACAAGCTGTCACATTCCATTGACTTAGCTACCTGCTTTCCCCTCACAAAAAAAAAAAAAAAAAGCCAGCAGTAGCAAAAAAGAACAAAAAACAAACACAAATATCTGTTAGGATGACAGCTTACAGCTCTCAAGGCAACACATACTTTTTTTAAAAAATGCAGTAGAGAAAACAATATTAAAGCAGGCTTTTGCACTCAGGATTGCTTAGTCTATACAGGAAGCACTAGAAACAGAAGCTTGGGAGGAAAGTTGAAGTTTATTAGATTTAATTAAAAAAAAGTACCCAGTATTCATTGAATGATACAATTCAGAGATATTGATAAGCCTTGTACCTAAGAACATACGTAAAGGGCTGTTCTACTCTGATGAGCTTTTCTACTGCTACAGAATTTCATATAAACGTTTATTTTCTCGCATTTAAAATAAGAAACAAAAACACTATTGAACATCAACCTAAAGAACTCCAACTACCTTGTACTGGTTAAGATTCTGATCTCTAATAGCTACGTATTACAATTATTTAAACTGGTTTGCATGAAAAAGATGTCTGTGCAAGTAATGAAGGTAAAGCTTCCCTTTTAAGTTGTGTCACCTTAGCAAAACCAGTAGACACTTAAATAAAATGTTTAATTAATGAAGAGACATTACATTGATGTGCGCATGAATGAAATTAGGAATATTTTCTTACAAATCATTTGTCTGAGTACTGCCCCACTGTAAAGGAGTGATGAAACACACAATGATACACTCCAAAAATGTGGTACTGTGTTTCCTGACATGCACTGCTGTAGAGATCTCAATGGAAAAAAATACAGTAGCATCCATCTTTCACATCAGTAACACTGACACTGAAACATTCACTTCCAAACATGGCAGATGCTAACTAAGACCAGATTGGAGAAAGAAGGATAGGAAAGCAACTGAAATACACATCTCAGTATCCCAACAGACTTCTTTTGTTTGTAAAATGGTGTTGAAATAAGAGATAGAACACCTGAACTTAAAATGTGCAAGCTTAAACCTCACACAGAAAAGCACAGACAGAACATAGGTCAGAGGACAGAGAGAAATAGGTGCCCCAATGAAACACTTGCTTATTGATCATTCTTAAGACAAGAAGTGAGAAATTATCAATGTTAAGTCTTTCACGTTTCAATTGAAGTGCTGGTGTGTTTAAGGAATCAGACAGAAGATGCATGAAGTTCCCATAGAGAAGAGTTTGAAGGAGAGGAGTGACCACATTCACTCATCTGAAGCAGCCTCCTGCAGGACTTCCAGCAGCAACACAGCACCAAATTTATTACCCTGAGCATTATGACACTATGCTAACTCTTCTTAAAAACTGTCATGTTACACACAAGAACAGGTCCAATAATGCTGCCCAGTACCCACAAATAATCATAACAAGCAGAAAAAAATTCTTTTTCTCACTTGTGCACACATACACACGCACAATAGGATGAGATGGAATGTCTTCACATTGCACCAGGGGACGTTCGGGTTGGTTACTGGGAAACATTTCTGCCCAGAAAGAATGCCACAGGCTGCCTAGGGAAATGGTGGAGTCATTGACCCTGGAGGTGTTCAAGAAGCATGGAGATGTGGCACTGAGGGATGTGGGTAGTAGGTACGGTGGGGATGTGCTAGTGGTTAGACAAGGTGATCTTAGTGGTCTTTCCCAACCTCAATGATTCCATGAATGTGGAACCAAGCATCACTGGACTCTAACTCCAAATGACAGGCAGGCGTTTTGAATTACTCATTTTTAATAACACAAACAACACAGCCGATGGCACCCAAAGATGACTCTTATTTTGTTCTCTAACTAGAATATCAGCTCAGATATAAAACCAGAGGGTTGATGCATTTTGTTTTCCATTAATGGACATAAAACCCAGTGCTTTAACCCAAGCTCCCAGAATAACCCACTTTCTCAGGCCAGATTTAACCCTCCATAAATAGGATGGCAATGCTATACCAAACATCTTGGGCAGGATGCTTCCCCTTGTTCTACAATGGAAGAATTGACTCTACCTTAAAATAAAATGCTTAACCCTACATATCACGTGTATGAAAAGGGAAGGGAGAGCATGCATGTGCATCCAGGCTGGATGTGGCTCTGGGCAGCCTGGTCTGATGGTTGGTGACCTTGCACATAGCAGGGGGGTTGGAACTAGATGATCATTGTGGTCCTTTTCAACCCGGGCCATTCTACAAGTCTATCCCCATACACAATTCAAACAGACACAGCCATCTTTGTGGAAGGCATCTGTTGTAACACAGTCATTTTTACTTCCAAACACAGGCACGCAACGTACCCGCAGACAGCAGAGCTCACATACATACGTGCCTAAATATGCAAACAGCAGCGGTACAATAGACGCCTTCCACAAAAGATGGCTGGCTCTACACCACGCAGACCGGCCCGGGCCAGAAGAAACGGTGCCGCTTCCCTCAAAACTCGCCCAGAACTTGGCAGCGGGCGGCTCGCCCTTCGCGGGGCTCAGCCCGGCCGAGACGAGGGGCATCCGGTCCGAACGAAGGGAGAGCCCGGCGGAGCCGCCCCCGCCCCCATCCCGGGCCTCAGCCCCCCCACCACGGTCCTGGAAGGCGGCCGGGTCCGGGCGCTGCCCGCTGGGAGCGGCGGACACCTGGAGCCTGGACACCTCCGCGGCCCGCCTACCTGCCGCCGGCGGGCTGCACTCCCCGCAGGGCAGGGCACGGTGGGGCACGGGCAGGGCCGGGCCTGTCTCGCTCACCTCCCCGGCCTCCGAGCGCGCCCACCCACCCTCCGGGCAGGCCCGCACGCCGCGGGGGGCTCCGGCAGGTCGGCCGTTCAGGAGCAGCCTCACCTCAGCCCCGGGCGGCCTCCCGCGGGGCAGGAGGGGAGAGGAGAACGCGGCTGAGGGATGAGCGGGGACGACGGCTCCCCGGCAGCGCTAGCGGGCTCACCTCCTGCGTGCCCGGCTCCTGCTGCCCGGCGCCTGATATCATCCCTCCGCCGCTCCCCGCCCCTCGTCGTGACGCACTCCCGCTGCTACGCCCCGAGGCGCTGATGGCCCCACCATGGCGGCTTCCGACGTACCTGCTCCGTTCCCCGGCCGCCGCCTCCGCGGGGACTCGGCGCACAAAGGAGGCTGGCGCCGCCCCGGGGTGGAAGCGAGGAGGCCGCGCGTGTGTTGGCTCGCGGGGGTCCGGGGTCGGGGGTCGGGGGGAGCGCGGGGCGAAGAGCGGCGAAATCGCGCGGTTCGTCGCGTCAGTGGGCACTGCAAGCGCGGAAGGTGGCTCCTGCAGCCCGTGCGAGTGGACCGAGGTCTGTGCTACTTCGTTTTCTCCCTCCTGGTTTGTACTGGTTGTATTTTGCTCTTCCCGGTCGAACAAAGGCAGAAAAAAATTTTACACAGTGTGACTGCTTTGCGATGATGTAGCATAAATAATAGCATGAGACACAAGATGACAAAGTAACCCCACATCCTTTTTTTTTTCTTTTTCTTTTTTTTTTTTTTTCTTTCAAGATAAATTAAAATTCCTACCGTCCTGGATGGAAAATTCTTAGTCTTCATCCATCTCTTAGCATGTTCATTTGGTAGATAGTGTAATACTGCAAAAGGAAACCTTAACAGTACATGATGTAATAAAATATTTTCCTCCTTACTTAAGATACGGATGTGCTATTACAAATCTTCTGAGAAGAGAAAGAAGATGTCTTGCAATAAAAAATTGCCCTCACACATCACCTTCACCAATGTTTAGAAATAGATCTGCATTTTGTTTATTTTTTATTGTTATTATTTCTTTCCTCTTTCATGTCTCTGTGCAAAATGCCCACTTTCTTCTTTCTCTCTAATCTAACTTACATTGTGGGGCTTAAAGAACAGCTGACAGAAGATGCCACTGCTTTTTCATGTACTCATATAACTCTAACTGTGTGTTTGTGTATCCATTTCTCCTATATCATGGTATTTTTGCATGCTGGACCTTCTAAAAGGACTGCTGACACTACTGGCATGTACTATGTTCAGTGGGGAATCTCACAGATTACGTTCTGTGGAATTGAAGTGATGGGCATTTTGAGTTGCCATGGTTGTTTACACAGTAAAATTGTGTCCCATCACAGCCATTAGTTGCACACAGGAAAAGGATGTGGTCCCAGAAATAAATATTTTCGTAAAACCTTTGCATTAAGGAGATAAAGTACAAGTGGGAGATCTGGCATCTTACCCTGTAATTTCACATTTTCTTTCCCCAGTCTCATAGAACAACTGATGCTTTCTAAGAAATGTCATGTTGCAAGGAACCTTAATGAATTGCCCAGCCCATCTTGCAGTGAGGTAATACCAAGGCTGGGAGACATTCGTCTAAGCTGTTGATTGTGGCAACCAGGCGTGGAGTCAGCTGTGAATGATTGAAATCTTTTATTACAGGTTCTCACATAACTCATATACATTCACAAGTTTCCTTTTCTAGCTTTCCCATCCACCCTTAGAACTTTCCCATCCTCTTTCCCATGTCAACAAAGTATTCCACAAACACTCCTTAACTGTGCATACAGGTGCTTATCCAGTAAGAGCCATGGGCCATTTCTTCTGCTTTTCCTTTCTTCTAGAGATATCCTTAGTTCTCAGCCTTCTCAGTTTTCTCATACTTTATCTTGCTCCACAGCGTCTGCTCTGAATATTCTCTTGTATTCCCACACTGCACTTTTTAATCTCCACTGAATGAGATGCCCTTAGCCTGCCTAGGTAGACTGCTAGGTTTAGCGTCTTTCCAATTTAAAAAAAAAAAATTAAAAAGTGACTAGTTGTTGTGGTGCTGTATTTGTGAATATCATATGCCATATGACCTAACAGAAGCTTTGCAGGGTCATGTGATGCAGTCGAAATGTACTTGTTAGCAGATGTTACAGCGAGTGATCCTCGCATCGATCACTAGAGAAAATCAAGAATCTAACAGCCAAACACTGGGGGGTTCCGGTGAAAGAGTTTGGCATGTAAAGGACTGGTGGCAGATGTCACTGGGGGAAGTTTGGTGATTGCAAGCGTGTCAGAGTGCAACGGTAGGCCAGCAAGATTCAGCACAGCCAAGAAGGACTTATTAGTTCATCACTAATGAATCAGCCTAACCCATGTGGAAAAAAGGACAATCTTTTTGCAACACTTACGTAACAAGACCCAAGCAAAACAAATCAAGCATGCATAACGTGTAAAATCACAGCCAGTGACCATCTTATTGTATTTCTCTTTTCACTTCCAGGAAGGGGAAACCTTAAAAGTAGGGATGAAAATATATGTAGAGGAAAAAAAGATGGAAAGGAAGAAATGAAATGTGCATCTCATAATTCCTTTTATTGACGAAGTCTTTAAGAGCACTTAAAACAGCTCTATCCAGTGCATCTTCCTTCCAGCTTCCTCCTCTTTAGCTTACCCCATCAGTCTCCACATGAGGGACAAATACAGCCTTGACATCCTTTGCAGGGCCACGTTCACTCCAGTAAGTGATGTCATCTCAGCATCTCAGTTTGTAAGTTACTTGATTTATCCAAATGACTCACAGAACCACAGAATCACAGAATTGTAGGGGTTGGAAGGAAGCTCCAGAGATCGAGTCCAACCCCCCTGCCAAAGCAGGTTCCCTACAGCAGGTCGCACAGGTAGGCATCCAGGCAGGTCTCAAACATCTCCAGAGAAGGAGACTCCACCACCTCCCTGGGCAGCCTGTTCCAGTGCTCCGTCACCTCACTGTAAAGAAGTTCTTGTGCACATTTGTGCAGAACTTCCTATGCTGCAGTTTCCGGCCGTTTCCCCTTGTCCTGTCTCCACTCACCACTGAAAAGAGTCCGGCCTCACCATTCTGCCCCCCACACCTCAGATATTTATAGACCTGGATCAGGTCCCCTCTCAGTCTTCTTTTCTCAAGGCTGAACAGACCCAGTTCACTCAGCCTTTCCTCATAAACAAACTCATTAACAAACTTTTGTGTTTCTTGCTCAAATATGTAATTGTTCACTGTTTAACCCTCTACATTCTCCAGTACTGCCTGCAATCAGTTGTCTGACTTCTGCAGGATGCATTTCTCCTGCTCCCATTTCCCTGTACAATGCCCTTATTATGTAGTTAATTAGAAACCTGGCCCTGTGGCCTCTGTCCTCTTGCTGGCCCCATGACTTACTACTCCTGCTGGTCTCAAAGCTTGCAGCCCTTCACAACTTTACTGACGTGAGATGAAACATTGCAGCAACCCCATTCACTCTGTGCAGAAAAACTCAGCCATGTGTTGACTAGCTGCAGACTTTGAGCATTAGGTAGGGTCTTTACAGGGCGCACATGGGAAGAAAGAGGGGAAAGACACAGATGACAGAGTTTTCAGATAAATTACGCTACATTTGCAAGACATTTCTTAAATAGGGAAGAACAGAAAAAGCCATCAAGCTGGATTTATTTTATCTTAGTGTATATTCTGTTGTAACAAGAACAAGGTAGTGCAAAGAAATTCATAGTGTTAGTTTACATTCTTAATTCACCAATCAAAGCTATCAATGAGCACAACTTTCCACAGTGATGAGTATAAGCAAATTAATTGCAAGGCAGTTACCCCTTGCAATTGTTAAAAAATAAAAATTCAACTGCAATTTTACTCTAACTAAATACACACACAGTATGTGCAGTACAGAGATATATTTTCAATTAGTACCAAAGCAGCTCTCAATGACTTCCTTCAAATCCTTTCTTAAAGTCTGTGTTACGTACAAACATTTGATAGCAGAGGAGTAGATAAAGACAAGGGATGTGCTTGAACCACTCCTTATCAAGATGGTCACTGTTTCATCACTGCTACCACGTACTTCTTCTGTCAGTCCACAAGCCCAAATGTTTCCTTTCTTAACATGAGTCTATCAGTTCCCTGGGCTAGGTATCATTTTCCAGTCGTATGACATCATCTTCCAGTTCCATGATAAGGAGGAAATGGAAGCACACTCTTTGTCCTGAAGTCCCCCCCACACATAACCACACACAGGCAGGAGTCCCAGAGCCAGGAGGAGTCCATCCCATAGCTTCAACATCTCCAAAAGAAACATATGCTCTTTTGCCTGTGGTAGGAATGGCTTATCCTGTGGTTTTGCAGGTTAAAAGTTCTCACTGCCTTATATTTTCACTTGTCTAACATAGTGATTTTAATATGTGGATATGCATCCCTGTGGATTTCTGATCACTTCTTAAAGATAATTATGTAAAATGAGTATGCTGTCTTAGGATTAATTTTACACTAAATATACAATGCAAAACAGAGGTCTGCAATGCGGAAAATGCTGAGAACAATTGTTCCAGCTGAATACATTTAGTGCCAATGACATAGAAAAGAGCTTTTCTTTTTCCATCTACAAATATATGTATGCATTTCTCTGAATACATTTAGTGCCAATGACATAGAAAAGAGCTTTTCTTTTTCCATCTACAAATATATGTATGCATTTCTCATCACAAAACATGAATTCAGTAATTATTCTGTTTAATTTTTAGCACTTTATTTATTCAGATTATTTTGTTGCTTGAAAAGCAGTGACCTCATCTACTGAGAGTCACATTTTTAAAAGCAAATCTCCTTTTTTACTCCCAAAATTCAGAATGAAAATTGCATTTAAATCTCACTTACTCTTGCAGCTCTCCTTATGTACTGTTTGTTTCTATAGGCTGGTTCCCCTGCACCCCTTCATGAGGAGAGTCTGTCTATACTGGAGACCCGTTCTGAGCACAGGAGAGCAGTGGCATTAGCTAGCACTCACTGCTGTGTGACCATGCTTACCCTCTCCCACTGGCTCCAAAGGAAACAGCTGAGGAGAGCAGCTGCTGAAGCATTTCTGCAATGAATGAATACAAATGTCAAGTCTTTATTTCTTTTTGTCATTACTGAAGAGCATTTTG